ATAGGCACTGAAAATTTAAGGCTTTGTAATGGGAGAAAGTCTCTGATGTTTTCTTCCCCCCGCCTCCTCACTTTTGGTGAGGTCATCCTTGACCCTGTTGAAAAATAGTCTTCATCACAACACCCCCTGTCCCCGCCCCGCCGCCCCCCACGTTAACTCTGCCCAGCCTGCCATATTAGGCAGTCACTGCTGAGTAAATGCTCTGGAATAAACCTCAGAGAGAAAATAAGTCACCTCTTGTGCCATGTTCCCTCCAGGTGAGGACTGAGGTCATTGCAAGAGGCATAACAAATAGTCGACACAATGTACCAAACTAATAGATTCTATAAGGAAAACTAAATGGAAAATTTTTCTGGAGCTCTAGGCACCTCTGGCTGAAGAGACAGTGGAGCCAGTGTTATTATAGATGTAGTTGAATCAATAATACTTTTTCATTCATTTCTTTTTCATTTCACAAAAATGCCTGTTTTAGCCAGCAAAGAGGTAAGGAGATATTATCAAGGACAATTTTTCATTCTCTCATGGATTATATTCTGGGACATTGCTCTTCTGAATAGCCCCATTTCCGTTTTTTTTTTTTTTTCTCTCAGAAATGTATTCAATTTTCTTTCAGCAACATGAATTCATCTGGAAAGCTATGACAATCAATTAAGTAAATGGGAAAATAGAATGCTTGTAATTATGATAATCAAGCTATATGAAACCCACCCTCTTAGGTTTAATACCCACACATCTTTAAGCAATATATTAATTAAGCTTTGGGTAATTGTTACAATCAGAATCAGGCTTTTGTTATTTTAAAAATCACTCTGAGAAAAAGGAAATATTTGAAAAATACATGCAGTTGTTGGTTTTTAATGCAATTCATTATCGGGACTACGTTGTCATTTCCTGGATGCATGGAGACAGTTTCAGTGCGCTTTTTTGCTGTGACTTCTTACTTACAACTGGAGGAATTTTGTATGTAGCACCTTTTTCAGATGTTTTCCTGTTTATCTGTGCTGGAGATTGGCAAACTTTTCTTGTAAAGGACCAGATAATAAATACTTTAAGCTTTGCAGGCCAAGAGGCAAAGTTGAAAATATATGAAAGTACTTACGTAACAAATTTCCACAGTTTCTGCATTGATGGAATTAAAACTAAAATAAAATAATAATTGAGTACAATTTTTATTTTGCATTACACATCTACTAATGAGAAGGACAGAATTCTTACTGCTGGGTTAATATTTTGCTTAGCTGAGGTTCAATGTCAGTGTCCCCTATTACCAAGTCATTGCAAATGTTCATCGCTAAACCATTCTTAGCTCCTGTGGTTCACAGGGTATAGTTTGCCAACCCCTGTTCTTGATCAGTGTTCTCAACTTTAGTGTACCTTAGAATCACCCACAGGACTTGTTACAACAGATCTCTGAGCCACACCCCCAAGTTTCCAGTGGTGCCCACAAGTTTGCATTCTAACGAATTCTCATTTGATGCTGGTGCTCCTGGTAGGAAACCATACTTTTGAAACACTGCATTTGATGATGGTCCTCTAAAAGTCACAGTGAATACAAATCTATATATTTTATATGTTTCATCACATATTTCAGCTCACCTGATAGATTTTGCTTCTTTGAACTCCGAGGTACAGGGTTAGTAGATCCAAAGTTAAAAATTGAAGACCTATTTAGCTAGAGCAGGACTGATAATAAAAGGAACTTCTGTCTCTTAAATAGCTATCAGTCTCTTGCTTACAAAGTAAGGCATCAGCAATCAGCATCTATTTGTCTGCTGTAAAGAATGCCTGAATAGCATTTTCCAGTCTGACCAAACTTTTTAAATAGTATGCAATATTCCAAAGGATATATGTGGGTGAAACATAAGAATGACAGTATTGCCTTAGATTTAACATGTCCTATTTCACCAAACACGTTATCAATACAACACTCTCTGGATAGAATTTGTTGGCATGTTCAAACCATAGAATTTAACACAGAGACTCTCTTGAGGCTGCCAAGGGGCAAGGGAGATAAGAGTTTCCTAAATTCTGGAGTAGCTCATGGCCTACTAGTCCAAACCATCTCTAAGTTGACTGAGTCAAGCTGTACTGGGCTCTCACAGACGAGCCCTGAGTAGTCTGAACTATTACATATACTGAGGCTGTGGAGAAGCTTAATGATAAATGACGAGGCATCGGCTAATTGTAATGATCACATCTCACCAAAGAAATTCTTTCTGAAAAGAAGCAAAGTGGAATGAAGATAGGTTTTCCTTCTGTTTATTTGTCCCAATGGTTTAAAAAATCAGCATTATGGAACCATAATCTTCGTCATGACAGATGGGCTTATACATTAGCATCGTGCTTTCAATCAACAGTTTACATTTCAAGAAGAAGGTGAAGAAATTAAATGTAAAGACATCTTCAGCATCTATTTGTCATTTTCGGTTTTATAACATTGATACAAAAAATAGTATTCTGATTAGCAGCTTGATTGGCAACCCATGTAACTTTAAACAGTACTACAAACCTGGAGAGTGCACTTTTACAGACAATCACGTTTGGCGAAAAAGTATGTACAATTTTGACAAATAAATACATAAATACAATCATTCATATATAACGATATACCTAAATGTCAATTATCATCAACAAGCGTTTCTAGTAAATTACTTCTTTCATTCACAAGTTTCTTTGTTGCTTATAAAAACTTTCTTCACCTTTACAGAAGAAATGACATAATCAATTTCCCCACTAAACCCACATATTAGGAAAGGTAGAAAATGAATCCCAGACACTTTATGTAAATATTCCATTGTCTTTTGATAGAAGAGATTTGATTGAAAATCTCCTTCCTTAACTTCTCTGTAAAGAGTTTGTTTTCCCCATATCATATTAAGCAAAGGGGTTTTGTTCTTCTGAATTTAATCCAAATAAAAAATGATCTTAATTTTTGATTTGTTATTTAAAAATACAATATTATATATTGAAACTGGCATTTGTGCCAATATAAAAAGACACAAGGTCACACAAACTAGCCACTAAAGATAAAATTTTTCTTCCAAAAATAAATTAAAAGAAGAAAATTTAAGAACACAGACACTAATTATTGATACCTTTTGCTACCCAATGCAAACGAACAAAACAGATGGGGGGGACAGTCAGAAGGTTTTCATAACAATTGAATGACTCTAGTATTGTACTGTCTGAAACACTATTTTATGCCGGAGAAATGATAATACATTTTTTTTAAGTTGGCATAACAAAGAATTGAAACCATAATTTGGCCAGTGTCATAAAATTAACAAAAGTAGAAAATTAGAGCTTTTTGATCTAACTTTGCTCAAACATTTTTGAACATTCAAAAAACAAAGGGCAAACATGCTTTAGGCTATTGAAACACCAGACAAATGACTTTGCCTCACCAAGCTCCATGCAGAAGAAAATGTACACAGCAAGCACATTCTAGCTATACATACAGTTGGGGAGAAGAGAAAAAAAATGCCTTTAAAATATATACATATGGCCTTTGATGAATATTTACAAGTTTGTTACATGGATACTACCTAGCATAAAAAAGTTAGGAAATAGTTCTTTAAGACATGGTTCTCTGATTTTTGCTCCTTTTAAAGATCAGGGCTCTATTCATAGTGTACACACACACACAAACCAATTCATAGATGTACACGTATGATGTTTACAGTGTGCAGTTCCTTGACACCAAAGGTGGCTTGACTGGGCATAAGGTAAATGCAAGACGATATCATGAGACAGAGGCCTGACCTGGCCACACGATTGAAAGGCAAACCAAGTAAGGAGTCATGAGACTTTTCCAGTGATCAAACTCACAGAGGTTGAAGGTTGGGGTTGGAGGATGGCTCACCTTGTGTTGATCCATTTCTCCCCAGGCTACCTAATGCTGTTTTCTAACGCAACTCAGCAGTGCTGCTGCCTATACGATGGAAATATATTAAGAGACTTGGAGGCCTGTATCATATTGGGTTCTTTTGGGCTGGGGATGAAAGATCCAGTGTTTTCAAGAAATAGACTTCCATTCATTCATTTTTGTTTACCTGTCTGCTATCAAATTCTAGGGGGGCTTGAAAGGTCAAGTTAAAAAAAGGTACGCTTTTGGTTGTGGGGCTTTGAATGAAAACAAACAAGATCTCTAATGAATGGTAGAAGATGTACGATGTGTGGGTTTGCTGAGCACCTATTCTTCTTCTGATAAAAGTGAACTAGTTCTATCGGTCCTCAAAGTTCTTACTGAGAATTCAGATTAAGGGTTTCCTGAGATCTAAATTGATGCGATACATTTTGCAAACCATGTGCTTCCATTACTCTAATACACTCACAGACAGAGGCTCCTCTCCAAGGTGCCTTTACCTTCAGCACCCTGGAATATCAAGGCAATGCACTGAAATAATAACTTATTTATTGAACCCAGAAGAAATGACAGAGAAATTGAAGCTTCCCCAAACACCTAACATTTCCAAAGAAAAGTCAAAGTTTGGAAGTATCAGGTGCGCTAATAGTCCATATTTGATCTTTATTTTGGCAGATTTTATATTAAGATGTTACTACTACTGATGACCATTACTGTGATTATGTAATTCTTTTAGCATTTAGTATAATGCATGATACGTTGCATTACATAGCACCTTTAAAACTAATACTTGGCAAATGCGATTTGCTCTCACAGCACCTGTGAGGTAGGTGTTTTTTCTAGCCATTTTATAAATGAGCATATCGAAGCACAGCAAGGCCAAGATGCCGGCTCACATGACTCAACAAGTCTGATGCAGCAGTAGAACCTGAATCCAAGCTCCCCCTCTTCTTTCCCATGAATCTCAATTACACAGCCTCCAGAACACCTCCTACCAGCATTGCCACTAGAGGTACTTGGATGTTTTGGATATTAGAGAGTATTCCATTTATCAGCTGTAGGGCTAAGTCATTCAATAACATTAGTACCAATTAAAAGACTTTCTTGCGTGCTTTGTAAATGTGTGGGCGGGGCATCCTATACTATTGCTAAGCTTATGTTAATTATAATGCATACATAAATTTGTATTTTCTCTGTGTGATTTATTGTTTCTCTGGCCTCCTGACAACTTATTTCTACACATGTGCCTGCATGAGCCAGAAACCATAAAATGCACTTAGCAACATGGTCTGGAGGGTAGCAGGTGACATTACATTTGGCAAAGCCTCCTTGGAGGCACCAGGTAATGCTTGTTGAATAAGCAAGTGGAATTGTCTTCCAAACATACAGAATATTTGATTCTCGAGTTTAAGTTTCCATTTATTTAATTTAGCCTCCCTGCCAGTACAAAGTTCATTTCTGGTTGGAACCACAAATAGTGTACACATGTGGCAAAATGTGTAAAAATTCAATGTAACAGCATACACAATATTAATAATCACATCCAGTGTGTCTTCCTGCCTGTGCATGATTTCTGAATTGTTTTTGAAAGAGTTATTTATTTATTTTTGCAGTGATGATATAAAGACATTACCATGAGTTTCAGTTTCTCAGAACCAGATTTTTATCTCAGATGCACAGTGTGTAAATCCTAACAGTTGTTAGAAAGTTATTTTTTGAGATAAATGCAATGCCTTAGGACCTGAGAATGAAATCTGGCCCTTCTAACTTATGTATTATTTCTGACTAGAGCCTAACATTTGTAAATTGGTAATCCAAGAAAGGAACTAGGAGCGAGAAGAAAAAGCTTTTTACAAAACCCCTTCACCAGTTCATTTCTTCTGGTGACACCTGTAAAATACCAACACCCCAGGCCCCGTTTCTTAAAAAAGAAAAGAAATGTATTTACACTGGTAAAAATCCTAACATCTGAGATGCTTCTTGCTTGACATGTCATTCCAGATTCTGTGCATTTCTTCTGGAGAGATTTGATGCACAGTGATAACTCGGCGATACCGACACAAACTGTAGGCCATTTTCCAATGATTGAAGCCACTGTTCTGAAAAGGATGTATGCCCAGCTTTCGAAGACACAGTCCTACATATACATCTTCAAGGTGAAGCAGCCTTGTGTGGAGTGAGGTCTTATAAATGAGTTCGGCCACATCGGCTGAAAAGATATAGCCAGTCCCCGAACAGAACGGTGGGTAGTTACTGTCAGGGTATAAATCCCTGGGCATATACCACTTACTGCGGACATCCCGGATTGGCCCTCCATTGATGACATAGCCAGTAAAATACCTTCTTCTTGGCTTGGTGGAGGGTTTTAGTAGTTTATAAATAAGGTTGTCCATGTTTACAAAAATGTCACTGTCTGTTTTCATGACGTACTTGGCTTTTGAACAAAAAGTGGCCACCCATCTCATCCCCATTAACGTTTTGAGGGTAAGGTTATGGTAGGAATCAATAAAGTCCTCCACGATAATGTCATGGAAGATTTGGCTCTCTTGCTCCACCATCTGATTCAGAACAGGATCAGCGTTCTTGCCCAGAAGGAAAAGAGTGGCTATCTTGATCCCTTTAAAGTTGTTCTCATCACCCCACGTCTCTCGGATTGCCTGGCGAGCATCGAATTCTTTGTGGGTAGTGCTGATGAGGATAACGAGAAAAGGAATGTTTTTCTCACATTTGTTGGGCTCGTTTATAAGAAATTCAAAAGAATGTGGGTTTATAGGTCGAGTTCTTATGTTGCCAAACGTGAAGTTTTTCCTGGCAACTGTTAGGTGGCTGAATGGCTTGGAGCCAGTATAGGAAGAAGTAGGACGAGTTACGCTCAAGTACCAGAGAGCGCTGGCCCAGCACACAACCGTCAAAACATATAAACAGGAGACTTTTGAAGCCATGGTCTTGAGAGCACGTCTATTCCAAATACTGAAGAATATGCCTTCTTGGCACTAGTTTCTTTTCATCTTGCAAAGGCAGCATATTACTAATCTTAAAGTTCGATAGAGAAGTGTGAGTGTGGGATTGTCCATTGGTCTTAGTGGCAGTCTGGTATCTCTACATTCACTCTACTTTCTTCCAAACCTGATGGAAGGTTCCATGCCTTATAAATCTTCCTCTTAACTCTGCAAAATCAATAAAGTAAAGTTGTTTAGATTTATGTAGTCATTTCACATCCTCAAATAAACATCATAACGGTATAAGAATTACCCATGATGACTAAAATAAACATAATCATTTATTTCCATCAGTATCGAAAACTTCCCGACACAACCATCCTCCCTTTTCTTCCTTTGATAGAAGTTGTTTATGTATATTCATACCCAATTAACAAGTATACAGAACATAAACTCTAGATAAATATGAAGTAAACTGAACATTGGTAACTAAGACAAGTTTCCCCCTCTTCACAAGAGGCCTTCTTTGTAGTTAAACACTATCTGACACTAAAGTCTTCTTTCAAGCGGGTAAGTCTCACACATGGCCTCATATCTCTTTTCCATTTTTCCAAGGCTGAGTTTTTGTTTGTTTGATTCTGATGAAGTAATTGGTTCTCAACATCTCTTTGCTTTCTCTACCCCTGCATTTGAAAGTGTGTCGATCACTACTGGAAAATTTCTGCTAAAATTGTTTCCTTTGGTTCAGACTTAGAAGTAATGCTCAACTTTTCCTCACTTTTTCTTTACTTTGGCTTTCACAGATATTAGTTCCTACTTCTCAGAGTTCTACGAAGCTTTATATGGAGAACATCCTTACTCTTCATGCATGAAGACCATTACACAAGTGTCTTTTCAGATGGCTGGCAGCATTCATTTCGGAGTTGATCTAAGTAACGGTATTCTTTGTGGTTTTCAACAATTCACCTTTATGTCCCCTTAATGAAATTATACTGCCCCTTTTAATTCTTTTTGTTTAGTTACATTTGCATGTACACATAGCAGGAGTATAATGAGAGACAACTGAGCTTGGGGGCCACAACTTGAATGAAGATATCACAGGGCACTTTAATTGGTGTTCAAATAAAAGAGTTGTCCTTCAGAACTCAAATCTTTTCTAGAACTTCAGCTGCTGTCATGCCAGTTAAAAATTAGTGCCAAGTTACAAAGTTCACTCATATAAAAAATTGTCTCTCCTTCCTAGTTACAGCAAAATGTGGTAGTCCTGTAAGACAGAGAGAGCAGATAATAGATGACAATTTCAACAAATCTGCTTCAAAGAAAACTATACACTTAAGTGTATAGACTGTGTTGAAGGAATTTAACTGGGATTACAGATCGAAAATCATGCTTCTAAGCACAATAGTCATATGAAATGAAGACATGGTGGGCAACAGCAGAGATAATACATAGATCTTCTTGTCTAAGCCAAGAGCCGATTGTGAATATATGATCCATACATGAGGCCAGCAATAACTCAGTGTGGTTCTAAATGAATATTAGAACAGTTTCAAGCAGCATGACTCTAGGCATAGTCCAACCCATATGGCCTTCATCCAACCCATAATAAGTACTCTCTAAATATAGGCTCCAGTATCCTTGGCCTCCTGGAGGAAATTTCTGCTCCAAGGTGCTCCAAAGCTAATAAAAAAGGATGCAATGTGCAGTAAGCTTTGAAACTTTAAACAGTAGGCAAAAAGAAGTGAGAGAAACCAGCAATAGAGTTTAGAAAGGGACTTCTCAGCTTTAGGATATACAGATATCACCTCTTTATGAGTTCCAAAGGAATGTGAGTGAGTCTCAAGATGGCACTAGAAACCAAACGTTCTCCACCATTATCCTAGCCTACTTAGCTGATTCTTATTAGCCTCTCTTTGTCATCATATAGCCCTTGTTACCTTTCATACTTTCCAACTAAACCATGAGCCACCTATGACTAAGCTGTTAAGCGATCCAAAGAGAAGAGGCTCTTGACCAAGGTCTCTACTGGAGCCACTAACCAGACTGTTAACGGAGGGTTACTGGTGTGTGAAAAGTATTGGAAAAAACAAGAAATAAAACCCATACTCCTCCTTAAGGAACTCTGTCTATGAGGAAAGACTTCAAGTAAATGATTAAAACAGTGGAATAAAAATTTCTATCACGAGGCTACTGGAGGACATAGAGGTGGGCTGGTGGTCAAGATGTGAGAGAAGCAAGCACAGTTCTGCAGACTGTGCATAGTACAACTCCACAGGGCACCGTTCTCATAGGCTGCATTGTGAATCCCATTCCTCCATCCCATCCCGGAGTCAAATGATGAGCTAGCTCTGGGGAGGATGCCACGGAAAGTTCAGAAAAGTTATCGAAGCTGAATCTTTAAGGACAACTAGGAATTATCTGGATGAGAGTTGGACATTCTAGGCAAAGGGAACAGTATATGCAAAGTCATAAAATGAGAGTGCATGGTGTGTGCCAGGACTGCAAACAGTAGAATAAGAGAAGAAGACAGGGTGATGAGGAGGAGCCAGGGAGTGGTGTGGTTCAAGGCTAGTTAGACAAGTGGGAGTCAGATGGTGAACTGACTCAGAACAGTTTGGAAACTGTTCTGAGCTGAGTAGCTGGTTACCCATCTTTGCAGGCTACAGGGTGTAAGAGAGGTTTTTACCTCCCCCAAATCTTGTCCACTGATTTCAATAGCAATTCATTCTTCCATATTAAGGATTTCTTTCTCTCATAGTTCTATACCCCAGAAGAGTAAGCGATGATCTGTTTTCTCCGATACCTTTCCGTGTGATTTTCTTGGGGGAGGGACTCCGTAGACACAGGTACGGGAAGATTTAGACAGAGCTAAAAGAGGGAGAAATAGAAGAAAAATAGGTGAGATCAAGATTAAGTTTATGTATTTATAAACTCTTTTCATTGAAGAATAAGCATTCTTCTCTAGACATAACAAACATGATACTTCATATCACTGTTATTACAAGCCTCATTTTAAAATGAGTATGTACACCAGGCACCGTGCTATATGCTGTATTCTATGGCATGCATTTTACAGAGCTTCATTCCCCACTGTTACAAGAGAGGTATTTTCTCAGTTTTACAGATGATGGAATGAAAATTCAGAAATATTAAGTAGCTTGCTCAAGATCACACAGCTAGTGAATGAGTAGTTATTAGTCATTTCAAACTTTCTAAGTCTTTTAGGATAGCAGGCACAATCTTGGATGGGAAAGCCCAGGGTAGCAGGGAGTATCTCAGGCTGCTAGTCTCTCAGGGATCCACACGTTCATTTCCTTACATGTGTGTTCATGGCTTGGACTTTTTCTAATTTGTTTTGGTATGCTACACACCACACTACAACAATTCTGTGGGGATTCTTAATTACAAACAAATGATGATTTGCGAAGAGCATTTTAAAACTTAAAGATTCTTGGGGGCGGGGGGTGGGGAGCTGCAACTGTTGAAGAAGTTCAGAAAAACTTTTCAGTTCCCTTTCTCTGAACTCCTGAAACACATACACGTATACACAGAAAGAATCAATCTTTCTATTGACCTTTTTATTTTTTTCAAACATGAGAACAAAAGTAGATACAGTGTTATATCTTGGTCACTAGTAAATGCAAGTCATCAGCTATAAAAACAGAGGATTTGAAATGGGAAAAGGAATCAGCCTAGAAGCTAAAGAGTGGCTAAAGACAATGATAAAAGGGTGCTAAAACTGTCCTTTTTGCTTACAACAAAACAGATTTTTCAGGTGGCCAAAGAAGCACGAAAATATGCTTCTCGATCAAAACTAGTAATGTAAGTAGAAAGACGAGAGAGTAGCATGGTGCATTTAAGTCTAAAGAGTAATTTCATATATGTTGGATGAAGTAGTTGGTAACAGGCCAGATGTCTGTGTTTTACTCTTTGAGTAATCCTAACTTGCAATGTGCACTTCTGAGCCCTAGTAGTCTTAGTATACAATAAGGGCAAAAATAACATCTGCTTTATCACCAAATATGTTATAGGTATTAATGACCATCACCGATTATTTGAGTTTCTGGGGAAATGGTGTGATACAGGAGGAGGGTGTTATGATACAAAAAGCAGGATCTATGGGGATGAAGGGATTATGTCAGTTCATAATTTGGGATCCAGAGCACATATATTCTTCTAAATACATAGGATCGGTATAAGTTTTGGAGTTTGTTTGCTTTGGATTTGTTTGCCTAAGGTTAGTAACTATAATGTATAGATTTTCCTGATAGAGAATTCTGTTCTCTTTCCGGAAAACTCAAAGCCAAAGGTCTACTGAAAGGCAAAAATGTCAACTGAAAAGTTCTGGGGAAGGAGCTAAGTGTCACAAAGCACAATCCTCTGGAGGATTTTTTAAAAAAATCTTGTTTAACCAATATGTTAATGTATCAGTAAAACAGAAAGTTGCACATATAATAACATTTGTCATTCCTTTTAGGAGTCTTTCCACATCTATGGACACTGATGACACATTAACTTGTCATACATCTAAATAGAAACATTCACTAGAACACTTGAAAGATTTCCCCCCCAAGGGCCTTACTCTATCGCAGATTGCCTCATTCACAGAACTCTCCAGAAACTATCTACCTTCACCTTTCAGGAAGTTAATGGGGCAGAATTTTCAATTTAAAAAGCACTTATTTCTTTTAGAAATTGCATGGTGAAGTCTGTTATTTTAACTTGTGTGTTTTTTTTTTTTTTTTAAGATGTCCCTAAATTTGCTAAAGTTATCCTGTTGTATCACCAGAGGTAAGACTCGGAGCAGGTGGGTTGTCTCCTGGGTAGCCTATGCATAGTTTGGGGTGCCAAGTTCATGTCTTCTTCCATCAGGGTTGAGGCAGGTACAAGTCCATACTGATTTCCTATGCCTTGGTTGCCACTTCGTTGGTTTGGCAAATATTCCATCTTCCTTACACTCACAGGAAAGGCTGCAGGGCCCCACAAAATGGCCTGCTTGCACTCTCAGGTGTCTCAGGAATATAATACCTCCAGGTTATGATTCCCCTGGGGCTTTCAAATATACTTCATTTGTTTATCAAAGATGTACCGAACACCTGTTAGATGCCAGCACTGTTCTACAAACTGTAAGACAGTTGAGCTTTTCTAGAGGAGGGAGGCAGAAAATAAAACACATGATAAATGATCGCAAAAATAATTTCAGGTAGCAGTAAGTACTGTGATGT